TCTATTCTCGGCCTCCCGAGTCCCAGCTGATCGGGAGGAAATGGGGATTTTGCAGAACCCTCCCCCTGCCATACCCACAAAGCCACGCCCATAAAGCCATGCCCATAGAACCGGTAGTAAAAAAAATTGAATCCCACCACTGCTTCTAGTCCAGGAACAGACGTCACTGGCACACTTTGATATACCTGTACACAAAGGCTTCAAGCAGGAGCTGTGAATTCAAAGAGACCCTCCATGTCAATGTACACCCCATTAAAGAATAAAGGTGATCGGGAGGAAATGGGGATTTTGCAGTAACCTTCCCCTGCCATACCCACAAAGCCACGCCCATAAAGCCATGCCCATAGAACCGGTAGTAAAAAAAATTGAATCCCACCACTGCTTCTAGTCCAGGAACAGACGTCACTGGCACACTTTGATATACCTGTACACAAAGGCTTCAAGCAGGAGCTGTGAATTCAAAGAGACCCTCCATGTCAATGTACACCCCATTAAAGAATAAAGGTGAAATATCACAGAAAAGGGGGAGGGGATCAAGCAAACAAACAAAGATTGACCTTAAGCCTGTTCCTCCCCATCTAGACTTGCACATCTGGATCTGATCTCCAACACCATCTCTTAATCAGCCCAGGGCCAAGAGGTATAATTGGGGATCATTAGAATATTGAGCCACTGTGGCACAGTGGTTAGAGTGCAGTACTGCAGGCTATTTCTGCTGATCACCGGCTGCCAGCAGTTTGGCAGTTCAAATCCCACCAGACTCAAGGTTGACTCAGCCTTCCATCTTTCCAAGGTTGAATAAATGAGGGCCCAGAGAGTTGGAGGAGACATGCTGACTGTAAACCACTTAGAGGGGGCTCTAAAGCACTAAAGCTTTGCGCAGTGGCAGTATCGTAGCCAATGAGGTTTATCCGAGGCGCGATTATTGCTAATTGAAACTTTGAAGTGGTATATAGGTCTAAGTGCTATTGATGATATTCGACACCGAACTGTTGGATGATCTCACCTAGTGGATTCATGTCAATGTGAAAACAGGAGAGAGAATTGAATTCCGGGGTACTAACAGAAGATAGGTGTGATGTGTCAGGATTGAAACTGGACACAAAGCAAGAGAAGCCACCACAGAGTAGAGCCTTCCACTTCCAATCCCTGAAGTTACCTAAGAGAATGCATCTCTTGGTGATACTTGAAAACTACCAAGAGATCAAGGAGCACTAGGATGATTGTATCACCCCCATCCTGGCCCCATCACAGATGATCAATGACCAACACCAGTGTGGTCTCCATAGCTGCATACTGGCCTGAAATCTAATAGAAACTGGTCTAAATCAGGGGTCTCCAACCTTGGCAACTTTAAGCCTGGAGGACTTCAACTCCCAGAATTCCCCAGCCAGCTTTGCTAAGCTTTGCTTTGCTGGCTGGGGAATTCTGGGAGTTGAAGTCCGCCAGGCCTAAAGTTGCCAAGGTTGGAGAACCCTGGTCTAGATAATCTGTTTTTTTCCCAGGGTCCTTTAGAGTTGAAGCCTAGAGTTGAAGTGTCAGGTTTCAACAGCCTTGTTGTATGAATCCTTATTTAAAAATAAATTGTTACAGCAATTTTTCTCCCAAGCAAATGTACGCAGCATTGTATAATTTATAATAAGGAGAAGCAGCAGTAAATGAGATTAGTACATAAAATTTCAAAATAAAATTATTACATTCTACAACCGGAGAGCCCTTTAAAATGCGTTCCTCTTTTAAGGCACTCGCCATTAAAAAAAAACCTGACTCCCAGCTTTCTATGGTGTCACAGTGTATGGTTAACAATTTTGTCCAGTAGCAGGATTACTGGGGGGGAAAGTAGTATTTTATTGGCTTTTGAGATGTCTGCTGCCCCCAAGCAAACTGCATACATTTTGCTTGCTTAATGCACAATGTAAACCAGGGAGAGGCAACATCATGATCATGGACACCAGTGTGCAAAAGGGCACCTACTTTTATATCTACGCCATTTCAATTTTATTTTTTTAATAGCAACATGCTTTTAGCATCGGCATCGTTTGCATGTGGGAAACCCCAGAGACATTTTAAGAAAGTAGAAAATGGGGTGCGGGCGTGTGTGGCTACAGCCCAGGGTTTCGTTGGATGATGTGAACGTCTCCTGAGTGGTAGAATGCACCCTGGGGGGGGGGGGGAGTGTGTCAATCTATCTTTGGGGAGTGAGTTATCTCTGACCATGCAGCAATGGTGCAAAAGAGTCCATGCGACTTTCCCAAAACTCTACCTGTGTCTGTTGACTTGACGAGGTTGCCAACTCCTGGTATATATTTGACGGCAGCCCCTTTCCCAGTTGTTTTCTTTCATTTGTATATTTCACGGAATCCATGCATGTTGAGTTGGTGAGCAGTGGGACCAGTTCATAAGGCCAATGGCTCTTTTGTTCTTCTGATTGGCACAGGAATTTCCTTTTTTCACTTTGACGGCGTTTCCTCCAGCCTTCCTCCTGCACGTCGGCGGGGTCGTCAGCGCCCGCTCTGTGAAACTCTTGGATCGCATCCACAACCCAGGTATGTTGTAAACCCAAATCTGCTTACATTTCGCCCTGACCTTTGTTTCTTTGTGTTGATGTTTTTATCATTTTTTTGCTGGAGGTAAGAACTTGGATGTTGAATGGTTGGATGGTTAAACATACTGGGTGTTTAGGCAACATTTCAGACAGCTTCCTTGTAATGTTCTTGTTGTTGCTTTTTGTACCATTGAGCTTTATGACTCATATGATAACCACTCTAGAATTAATTGCTTTCATTTTGTTTCCAAATTCTGAAATTAAAATGCCCAGTAAGACATTGAATAAAGAAGGGCAAACGTATTAGGTCTTCTGTACTATCTCTTTTTTTTTTAAAGTCTTCATAGGTTTTGGCACCAAAGAATGCCAACTGACATGAACGATGATGATTTTGATAAGGTTCTAAATAAGGTTCGTCAGAGAGAGAGAGAGAGAGAGAGAGAGAGAGAGAGAGAGAGAGAGAGGGAGGGACGGACGGACGGAGGGAGATATAATTCTTACTTTACTCAAAAAGTGAACTCTGCACATGCAGAGGAAGCCTAAAAGGCCATTATCATTAAACAAGGTTCAAATTGCCCCCCTATGGGGCGTGAGGCGTGGGTTCCACATTGGAAACCTCTGGTCTAAATGGAATATATCTTTGAGCAATAACTAGAAGCAGTAAATGTGAATGCTGCCAAACTAATTATGAGCACACACACACACCCTCCCCACAAAAATGTTCTATTTCTAGGTTTTTATTCTATAGTCCAGGGTGTATAGGAGACTGAGTTAGATTCTTGCCATTCCCCTGCCTATGCAGTCTTTTTAATTAGATGGCCATATTTCTAAATAAATGAATAATCCTATTCATATAACAGGATATACACTATTGGTCCTTCTAGCCAATAAAAATAAACTCTGATAATTGACTAGGAAGGAAGTGAATTGAAATTGTTTGTCTTTGTTGTGGTGTCACTGAACAAATAAATAAATGTTTGATAGAAGACACGTTTTTTTTTCCCTCCAAGATGTTTTGAGAAAATTTTCTTAGGAATGTACAAAGTTATCCAGATGGTTCCTCGCAGGCTGATTCCAGCTTGTAGATTTGCCTAGTCTTTTCCCATAATCCCCCTCGGGTCCCCTTCCCAACTTCCTTTTGAGGAGATTCTAATATGAATGTAAGTCTCCATTAGGAACAAAAACAGCCAGCAAATTTACCTGCAGGCTGTGTATTCTCCTTTAGGATCTCTTGAAGGCTTCTCTGGTTACAGAGGTGGTATTCAGCTGGTTCTGACCAGTTCTGGAGAACCGGTAGTGGAAATTTTGAATAGTTCAGAGAACCAGTAAATACAACCTATGATTTGCCCCGCTTCCCTCTTTTCTCTGCCTCCCGAGTCCCAACTGATCGGGAGGTAATGGGGATTTTGCAGTATCCTTCCCCTGGAGTGGGAGGGAATGGAGATTTTACAATATCTTTCCCCTGCCATGGCCACCATGCCACGCCCAGCAAGCCACGCCCACAGAACCAGTAGTGAAACTTTTTTTAGAATCCCATCACTGTCTGGTTATCTTGTCTGCTTTAGTGGAAGATTAAATTGAATGCAATGAATTTTTAAAATAAAATGTCAGAAGAATTATCTTTAGCAGAGGAATCTCTATCTTGGATAGCTAAAGACCTTGACTGCAGTAACCATGTTTTGCCATAACAGATTCTCTCTGGGCAATAAGCCAGCTAACTCCCCCCCCCCCCCCAATAATCCTCTCCTTGTTAATCTTTGTGGCCATTGCTGTACTGAATACCTTTTTACAAACTAAAGCAATCAATGTCCATATAGTTGCTGCTTAAAATCTTGCAAATATCCATTTGTGGGGCGGAAGGAAAATGGTTTTATGATGTTAACCTAGTTTGGATAATGAAACATCTGCAAGAAAATAATCAAGCTCAGAGACCACCAAAAGTCCTCTCATTTCAACCCTGAGCTACAAATATTCCCCTTTGTTGGTAAAAATGAGCCGAGGTGAGCCGAGGTGGTGCAGTGGTTAAATGCAGCACTGCAGGCTACTTCAGCAGTTCTGCAGCTCGGCTGTTCAAATCTCACCGGCTCAAGGTTGACTCAGCCTTCCATCCTTCCGCGGTGGGTAAAATGAGGACCCAGATTGTTGGGGGCAATATGCTGACTCTGTAAACCGCTTAGAGAGGGCTGAAAGTCTTATGAAGCGGTATATAAGTCTAACTGCTATAAATGAGTTTTTTCCCCTTACCTGATACGTCTCTGTTTTGACAAGAATCAAAAAGAGACATTGGCCTACCCATTTTAATTGGATTTTTTTTATTTTGATCAAATGTTTAATTCTCATCCTCCACTTTTCCCCACCTCTCAGGTGAAAGTACCAAAAATTAAAACTTCCAAAAACATTTCTTTCCTCCAATTTCCCAACGAAATTTTCTCCCTTGCCAGATGAGACAAGATTGCCTCTGTCTGGTCTACTCCAGGGGGTCTCCAACCATGGCAACTTTAAGACTTGTGGACTTCAGCTTCCAGAATTCCTCAGCCAGCTTTGTCTTAAAAGTCTTAAAGTTGCCAAGGTTGGAGACCCCCTGGTCTAAGCGTTGTTTTTCATACTGTTTATACCCTATTCTCAAAATAATGTTACTTTCAAAGAGGCAATGTATGTCCATATGGCCATCATTGCTTTTGGCTTTGGCATGAACTTTGGGTTATCACTTTGCTACTTTTGTGGTTTTGTGCTTGTAGACACAGGTCAACCTCCTACTATGAAGTCAACTCTGTAAGATTTTTTTTTTTTTTAGATTTTTCTACAAATCTTATTTGTTGGCTTGTTTATTTATTTTTGAATGGTTAGTAAGTTAATACCATGAAACATGATTAAAGGTTATGCTGATATTTTTTGTACAATGCTATATATTGGCCAAGTCTTCTGCTTTAAAAGGGAGGGGGGGAAACCCTATTATGAGCCACTTCTAGCACAGATAGGATGGACTTTAAAATGCATAAACTACTAGCAGTGCATGGAACCGTAATCCAAACTCTCAAAAAGGTTGTGTTAATTACTTTTCATTTGTTTTACTTATTGCCTACGCTTAGATTAACACAGTATATTCCTTCTGTCTTTCTCTGTTTTCATTCTCTTATTAACTCTGCTGTCTGTGTCTTTCCAGTTCCTTTGAAGCAACCCTCTTGTGTTCTTGGGTGTGTCTGTGTGTCTGTGTGTTGATGTATGTGTGCGTTCTTTTTCTTTCTTTCACTATATTCTGCTGCCATAACTGATCTACTTATTTGCTGTTTTGAACTCAGCCTTTGTCGGAATTATGGGTAACACAAGATCATACAAACTACTAGACTGGAATAGTTTCAATTCAGGTATTTTATTAGTCATTCAGTACTACATACACTGACAAAAATTATGGCAGCTCAGTGAAGTCTTTTTAGAAATACCTTAACTCATTGCCAAGCTAACGTTTCAAATTTTGTTCTTTTTAATTGAGAAAATTTAAAATCACCTTTATGATTAATATAGTAGGTTATACTATGAAATCAAATCCCATTGTTTCTTGCTAGACTATATGTCCCTAATTATCCCTGTATATCAGTATAATCTAATCATACACTAAATTCTTTCCTTTTGAGATTTAGCTTTTCCTGTACTAGAAATAGGATATTCTGTGTGAGTCTCAGTTATGGAGAAATGTCATTTGAAGATCACTTTTAGCTACATCTGTATTAGAAGCAAAATGACTTCTTGTTATTGAATAAGACATCTTATTCACGTTGCATATACTTTCTAGGTTATTTGTGGATTTTAGGTATATTTACTGTTTTAATATAGGTCATTTAATTTTTAAATAACCCCACAGTACTGGTTAACTGAAGAATACAGCCAAAACCACATTATCAAGCTACAATATTGAGGCAGACTGGGAAAACATTATGTATAATTTAGTCTGTGTTTTTAGATTATTGGATTAAAGATTTTTTTTAATTGTGCCTTATTTTTCTATTGAAGATCAAATAATTTAAATAGTGCTGGCCAGCTGATGGTATGGATGAATATTCAAAATGAATGACATACTCTTCTTTGGGATCTTTAGACAGAGAGTTATGTTGAAGAGCAAATGAATATAAAGCTTGGTTATGTTAATTGTTAGGGTGAATTTGCATTTATTTGCTTCATTGTAGGAACTTTTAAAAGGAAACCCTATGTTGGAATCTTTTTTTTAGTTGTTCCTTTTAGTTCTACAGGTGTGTAGAATTTCAGTCAGTGAAAAAGCATGAGATATCATGCCCATAATGTTATGTTGGTACGAACATTTATTTAATCACTGCATTTAAATCCCACCCTTTTCCCCAGTATAGTACTTTAATTCAAGGAAAAGAGGACAGAAATAGAAGTACTATAAGTATCTCAAACTACCGTATTTTTTTGGAGTATAAGATGCACCGGAGTATAAGACGCATCAAGGTTTTAAAGAGGCAATTTTTAAAAAAAAGGTTTTTGCACTCTGCAAACCTCCCCAAAACAGCTCGTTTTTCATCAAAAAATGGGCATGGATAGCCTTATGGAGGCTTATAGAGTGCTCCTGGAGGTTGTGGGGGGGTGTTCTTGCCCTCCCCAACCCTCAGGAGCTCTCTGAAAGCCTCCTAAAAGCTCTGCATGGCCATTTTGGTGAAAGGGGCGGGGTTTCGGGAGGCAAAAATGCTGTATTCAGTGTATAAGACGCACCCAGATTTTCAGCCTCTTTTTTGAGGGAAAAAGGCACATCTTATACTCTGAAAAATATGGTATTTGTGCTCTTATCTGTGAGTCAACAGCATAATTTTCTGTCCAAGAAGAGTGATTTGCAGAGTCATATTGAATTCCCCAGTTATACTAAATTGATGAGTGATAAATCTATCGCCTAATACATTCATTATTTCTGGCAACTTTTTGCCAATAAAAGCATTCAAAATAAATCAGGTTATTGTGTTTAATCATTCGGATTCTGTCTTTGCTTTTGCT